GGCTTGACTGGGGTTCAAACTGGCACCATGTGCTCCAATACCTCAGTTTCCGTGAAGCTGGTTTCCATTCTGAGCCAGTTACTAGCCAGGCATTAATTGTCCTCACTAGCTTAAATAAAACATTCATTGTCATCATGTTAATATTTCTTATGTGGGTTCATTTTAGGTGGTGGGGTTTTTTATTTCCAATTTCCTCTGCTGCTTCAATAACTCCTCCGTTTCTTGCAAGACTTAATTTGAAACTATTTAAGTTTATTATTTCAACTTCCAAAGATGATTATTTGGCATTGAGTAAACAACCTTAGCTATGCACTTGCTGATGTTCCTCCATAATAACTCTCTGGCCCTATTTTATCACTTATGGAATTGCTTCCTAATCCTTTCTGTAGATTTTTTTTTTTTTTTAAATAGCTTTCTTATATAATAGATATTAACATTTGTTATACAATGAAAGTAAAACCAATTAAATCTCCCTTATTGTACTTACAAAAGATTGATGTGTGTAAAGTCTAACAGCTTATTTGGGGATTTTAATCTAAAAGTGCCCTGCAATAGCATTCTCTTGTGTTCTGGGAACTTGCTGTAATAGAGAAGCCACTGCCTGCAGAGATGCTGAACTAAATTAAAGTATTGTGTGCTGGTATTCGAGCATCTGCCTCATACGTTAATATCTGGGAAATGCTTGAAAATACCCTAAAGTAGCAGCCATTTCTTTGTTTATGTTTGAAAGCTTTTTGTATCTATTCTCATTAATGCTGTAGTGCAGAAGACTCGCTGTTCAGTAAATGAATTGAACAGAAGCTTCTGCAAACCAAGAACAGATTGCAGTTTTCCTATTTCAGTCTCCATTTTATTTTTGTTGTGTGTAAAGGATTTAAATTTGAGCTCTGGGGACCTAAGTATTACTGTACTTTCTTCAACATATGTGTTCCCTCGTAGAAAGAAGCAAAATAGTTGGACTTACATGAATACTGCAAAAATGTAATATTATGCTGCCTGAATAACTGAGGATTTCTTATCTTACCTTAGTCTTTCTCTTCAGTTATATTTACATATGTAAGACTTTAAGGGTATCGTTCTCTGAAAGGTGTCTTCTGAAAATGCTTCATCTTCATTGTAAAGTCTCTCATTTTTCTTCTCCTTTATAACATTTCATTCATCCAGCCATGGATCAGAAACAATACCATGTGATTTACAATTGGGTATGACATAAATAGTTGAAGCTGTAAGAGCAGCATGTAGTAAACAAACAGACTGCAGGCAGTAATATATTTGAATACAGGATTTTTATGCATGAATAATCCATGAGTTTATAAAAATCATTCTGTTTATAGATAATTTAGGAATGGAAGAATGATTTTATTCATGAAATAACTTATCTTCTCCTGCTTAACAAACGGTTCCATGAAATGCAAGAAAAAATAGTTGTGACGTACAGATTTTCCAAACTTAGCTGTTGCTATTTCAGAAAATAAAAGTAGGCATCCACATTAGGACAAGGTCTGCAAATAGGGTGTGTGTCTCCAAGTGCACTCTACTAGATGCCAATCTGTGAACTGGTACCAAAGCTGTAGGTGAACATCCTTGAACATCCTCCTTCAGTTGCAGCTCAGCTGGTTGAAAATATTATTGTTTCCTGCTGCTCCCTTTCCCCTGCCTGGACACTAAGCCCCTTTTAGAGCTGCTGGAGGAGAAATGGACTCCTCAGTCCATTTCTGACAAAGCAAACGGATTGGCAAAAACACGTTATTTAATTGTTTGGGAGGTGATATATGTGAGTGATTTTGCTACAATACCTGAAGAGAAGTTAAGCCTGGAGTAAGAAAATGATGTGTGTCCATCAACCTGCTCTGCCTCTGGCCCTGTGAGTAAGTTGTGTTGTCATGCCAAGTAAATCACCAGTGAGAGGAGAAACTGCAGGATGTGCACCTTGGCACAGAGTATAGCCCTGCTTAGAAATGCCCTTGGAATGTCTGGGCAATCAGGGCAGAGTGTAGGAAGGCCAACATCTGTTTGTCACAGTCTGGCCTGAAAGAATGCAGGTGTTTCAGAAATAATGATTATGACATTTCTAAACCTTTCACTTCATTGTTTTTCTTCAGCCCATGGTATCTGTTGAATTTGAACTAAATTATACACATGGTTTATCACTGATTTGAAAATTATTTTTATACCTTAGAAACTCATTTCCTTGTCCGGATAGAGTCCATTGCCCCCTTCTCATGTGACCTCTTTTCTGCTTCTGATGCAAGTTTCTTTATTGGTTTAAAGCAAGATCTGTATGCCTTTCACCTTAGGTCTTGTATTTGGAAACAATACTTGCAAAGCAGGAGGCTCTATTAGGGTAAATTAATGTCTTAGAGTGCTAGCAATGAGAAAAGCCCTTTACTTGTTTTAAGTAGAAATAGTAAAAGCTAGTTTTAAAATGCTTACAAAAGAAACAATTTGAAATGGAAAATCAGAAAAGGACTATGTAGAGAAAATAATGAAGGGATTAGGAGAGTGTGGTAGTGTTTCAAACTGAGATTCCTTATATGCATTTAATTAAGAGCCAATAAAGTAGGATTTAACCATACATAAACTAGACACAATAGAAACTTGTTAATTTGCACTTTAATAATTTGCAGATTTTATAATTCATGAAAAAAAATAATTAAAAGCTTCCTTCTGCCTTGCAGCAATGGTTTAAACCAGAGGCAATAGTGAAATAGCCTATTATTAACACTTAGTTTCTTTGGCAAGTATGCTAGAAAGCAGTGGCTGCACTTGTGGCTGTGTTATGAGAGATTAACTACTGGATCACAGTTATTAATACACTATGAAATGCGCTTCATTTTATCTTTGTATCCCTACTCTTTCAGACAGCACCCAGTGTATTTTCAGTGATTTGGAGCTGACCATAAATAAGCACAGGTCACAAAGGCAATGATTTGCAATAACTCTCAGGTGTTAAATTCACAAATTGCCACCACCAACAGACCAAAGGCCTGACTGCAGAAGCTTTTGAATGTGTGCCTGGAAATTCCATGGGATTGTTTGAATTTTGTCTTTCAAGAGGTTCTACTCAGTTGTGGTGGGCAGCAGGAGGTCGGTGCTGCTGTTGCAGTTCACTGTGTCTGCAGGGCCTGTTCACAGGATTCACACACCGGTACAGGCGAAGGAACGGAGAATGATCTGGTTTATGTTAATGTGGATTTTTCTAAGGTGAACCCTCATAGGTCAGCTCCTACCCATTATTATTTATTATTAACTAATATAGGTCTGATTTTATTGCACACTCTCACTTGTGCAATATATCCAGATCACATCGTTCAGTGATGCAGTTTTAGCGTCTCTTCCTTTAGGCTTATTTGCATAGAGGCTAAATTGAATTTGATGTTTTTCTGTGATTAGACATATCGAACTATGATTTTTCAGCTACTTTTAACCTGCTAGGTTGTGTGCAATATTTTCTGGTCAAATTGTTCATATAGAGTCTAGAGAAATTCCAACTATATTTCATACATTTAATTCGTTCCTTTCGTAATTAGATTGAGATATTAAATATGTATTTATTTCTGAAATAACTTTTACGTAAATGGCTCATGAATTGGTGTTCAATTTTTACTACCACTACAGCATTTTACAGTATTTTCCTTTGAATTCCAATTATGTGATCTGACCTTGATGCACACTGCACTAGCTCTACACTAGATCAGAAAAAAAACGAAGAAAATTGCGATGTGACCACATCAGATGAAGATGTTCCATTTTACTTTAATCCTGAATCCAGTTACCTGGAGTCTCTGTCCAGTTATATGTAAACATTTGGAGGGATGGTCCATTGAGTCAAATTTTGTTATCTGCCAGGTAATTACAGCCCTTGGTATCTTCAGCAGGGAGTTATCCACATAGAGCTCTGGGTAGAGAAGGACCCATTTTTATTTTATTCATTCTTCTATTGTGGTGCATATTTTTAATCCAACATACTTACCTGCGGCTTTCATTTTGCAGTTAGAGGGCCCATAGCAAGGCAAAGGAGCTGGTATTTGCATTGTAATTCCAATTAAGTTGAAATTAGCATGAACTTACGTTCAGTATCTGATGTTTAATGTATGTTAGATTAAATGGTTCTTTGATAAACTGACTCCAAGGATTGTTATGACATTTCTTGTCTGCATCCTGCAACGTGATTGAACTGCAGTAGTACCATGTGGTTAACAGAGTTAGTTCTATCTTGTTCTGTACCTTGCTGCCATAGGGAACCAAACAGATCAGCTTTTAGGGCAAAGCTTGTATGAAAACAAATGAAGCCCTCAGAACCTAAAACCTCACACAAAATAAAACACACACACATGAAAAAGTTCCCCTGAGACAATTGGAACATCTGTCCTAGCCGTTGGAGTAAATAGCAAGGATCAGAATAACTTTCAAATGGCATAGGAAATGATTTTTGTGCTTTATTTTAATCTGCTTTGTGTTTTCATTAAAACAAAGGGTTTCTTGAAAGTAGCACACATTAGATATGCTTAGAAAATGCTTGCATTGCTTCTTACTGGCAAAAAACCAAAACAATACATATTCAGTATTTGAGCCAACCAGGTGTTGCAGACTTTGGCCAAGTGCAAATCCTCCACAAAATAATCTATTTTTTAGCATCGGTGTTCTGTGGAAATGTAGGTTACTACAGACCCAAGTCTGCAGCAAGAAATCAATAGGCCCTGGTGACTGCACTGCTCACCTTTCAAATGGTCTGTGTTTCCAAAACATAACTCTTGTAACACTTTTGCCAAGGCTCACTTAAGCAGAAATTGGTTTCCTTGTTTTCCTGTGAAGGAACACTTCACCTCTGAATGAAGGGGGATCAGTTCATCTTGTCAAGAAGTTTTCTTCTGCTTCTGTTGGAAGTGGTCCTGTTTCTCTTCACTGTCCCACTTTGCCTTTTCCTCCCAAGGTCTGGAGGAAGTCTACTTGAGCTGAGACAGCAGGAATCTTTTGGCAATGGAGAGATGCCCCAAGAAAAGCCATAATAGCACAAGCCAAACAATGGAATGTACTGCAACATTCCCTGCCCAAAAGGAGATGAACAAAACCCTTATTCTGGCAGGAAAATGCTCAAGGATGTGATACGTAACAGTGATAGAAGAACAGGTAAGGAAACATGAAATTAGATGGAGCTGTGTATGCAAACCTGCTCTTGCTGTGGGTCACTATTAGTGATTTTTAAAACATATATGAGTGGGCAGCACCAGCTTCATTTATATTCAACTGCTGATCCTCATAGCAAATACTGTTGCCTCCTTTCAAAAAAACCCCACGTCTGTGACAGATTGATGCTGTAAAGGTGTGGGGCCTTTGCTGTCCTGTGGTGTTTGTCTCTCCTGGCAGTTCCACCTTCAAGCACTGAGTGGGGACTTGTGCCCCAACTGTCTCTGCTAGGGCAGACCATGACACCTGAGCATCAGTTTTCTAACCTTTCCCCTCAGAGGAAGCCAGGAGCCACCTTCATTCTTTTAGTTTTAGATCATGGCTGACAAAGCAGTTTATCTTTTAAATATTTTACTAGTATACTTGTTCAGCCAACTTTTTTAAATTCAATTTTTAAAAAGAAATTTTTTAAAGTTTTTTTTATTTATATTAAGTTATAGTTGAGCTTGTGTATCTTTGAAAAAAATGTTTTGGATTCCTCCTAGTAGTCAAGATATTTTTCAGTATTTTTTAACTGTTTTTAAATTGATTTGTCTCACTAGTAGATATAAGTAACTGAAGATTTATGGTTTTTGCTCTTCATATAAATGTTTCCCCTAGGATTAAGCTTGAAATAAATTACTTCATGTTTCTGCCCACTGCTTGCATTCATGGGTAAATTAAACTGTCTGGTTCCCTGTCACTGATTTTTCAAATGTTAGTAATTAAAATTGCAAAAGCATTTTTAATGCCAAAGATTAAACAGATGTTGGTGGATACATTAGGTTTGGACAAAAGTTTGGCAGGTAAAATTTAAAGTAAGAATGGCTGTTTCTTTATTCTTGGTTTTTAATTTTAGCTTTACTGGCCTTTCAAGTGTGCTTAAAAGCAAAATTATGAAAATGTTTGCCACAATTTATTGGCATGTATCCCTAAAACAGGAACATGTGAGATGAGGAACTCTTCATCTGGAGAATGGTGTGTAATGGCTGGTATCAAAGGCTGTTCATCCAACCTCTGTGATTATAATCCGAGAGCCGTTTCCAAGTTCTTTATATCAACTGAAATTACTCTTTTCCTGCTATAATCTGACTACTTTGGTTTTTTGTCTGTACTGACCCTGAAGTTCATTCCTTATGCTGATTAATGTCTTCATATGGTCCTGAAATTCACTATCCTGCCTGTCTCCTGCTGTTTCTCTTATGCTGCTACCTTGTGAGTGATTTCTCATAATTACAGCACGATTTTGTGAAGACACATTGCATGGTCTGTCCTGCCAGACACAGTCCTCAGAGTCACAGTAGCTGGAGGGCAGCCAGGCAATATTTTGCAGCTGCTTTGTGAAAATCCCAGTGGCTCAGACCTCAGCGATGTTGGACTCAGACACAACCAGATGTCGAGAATTCTTACCAGACCCATCCTGAGCTTCAAAATGCTCACAAATTCTTGTGAATAATAGTGCATCCTGTCTAAAGAGTGTTGCTTTAATATCTATTTTGTCTCAAGTTCAGGCTCCCTAGCCCATACAAGTTTAGGTGGAAAAAATTACTGTAAGCCATCTTATACTCAACTAAATGCAGGCCAAGCCTCATCCTGGTATGAGAATAGAGCTAATTAAAAGCTGGTTTAATGTATTTCTAGCTGTTAGAGATATTGTCCACATACTGAAGTGTTTGCTCTTTCCATACCCTCCTGTAGGTATTGCCATACAAGGACTAGCAAATGGCTTATCTAATACCATGACATGTCATGCAGTGGTTTCTCCACCCAAGGGGAATTCTCCTAGAAAGTTGAAGCTTGTCTGGAAACGATTTCTCGCTGTTGGAACAGTTTAAAGAAGCTGCCTCCCGTCAGTGAGTCGAGCCTGTTGTGCCTAACAGATGTTTGCACTCCTGCCTCAGAGCTGCATGAATTCACATCTGAGCCTTATCCTGACAAAGCACATCTGAGTGGGGGCTTTTGCTTTGTGTCATTTGCTTTTCCACCCAATTTAGCCTGCCAGCTTATGTGACAATGCTGACTGTTCTGTGCAGGGATATCCTACAGTCAGCACCCAAGTCTCCAAGGGATCTCTCAGACAAAGGGTGTGCATTATCTCCTCCCAGAAGCTTTCTAATCTCAGTATTATGAATAATACAGGGCGTGTCATGAATGTCTGTTTGATCTAGTGGAAGAGGCAAGTTTCTGAGTTGGAAACTGGGATGACTTAGGCATTATCTCTGGAAGTGGAGAGGTGCAGCTTGCTGCATTGTTCTGGGAGGTTTTTCTGCTTGGTGCATCTTTATGCTCCTGCTGTTTGCCTATGTGTCTTCTTTCTCAGACTGTAGGGTGTTTGTAACAGGGTGACTTTTTTTTTCTATTTATAGTAACCTGAGAGGTGAACCTGTCCTCCATTAGAGCCCGTGGGATTTTCCCCTCTTTAATGAAAACAGTTGAATACTAGCATCAGGAATAGTGTGACCAGCAGGACTAGGGGAAGTGATTCTTCCCTGTACTTGGCACAGGTTAGGCCACACCTGAAGTACTGTGTCCAGTTCTGAGCCCCTCAGTTTAGGAAGGACATTGAACTGCTGGAGTGTGTTCCGAGAAGGGCAACAAGGCTGGTGAAAGGTCTAGAGCATAAATCCTATAAGGAGAGGCTGAGGGAGCTGGGGTTGTTTAGCCTGGAGAGGAGGAGGCTCAGGGAAGACCTCATCACTCTCTACAGCTCCCTGAAAGGAGGTGATAGCAAGGTGGGGGTCAGGCTCTTCTCCCAGACAACCAGTGACAGGACAAGAGGGCACAGTCTTAAGCTGCTCCAGGGGAGGTTTAGGGTGGACGCTAGGAAGAAGTTCTTCACAGGAAGGGTGATTTGGCATTGGAATGGGCTGCCCAGGGAGGCAGTGGAGTCACAGTCCCTGGAGGTGTTTAAGAAAAGACTGGTTGTGGCACTTGGTGCCATGGTCTAGTTGACAAGGTGATGTTAGGTGTTGGACTCGATCTGAGAGGTCTTTTCCAACCTAGTCTATTCTGTGATTCTGTGAAAAGGGCATTGTAAGGCACACTATGCTGTAAAGACCATTTGCTTGCTATTCTCTCAAATATGTGCTTCTCATTGGTGATTAATCTGTAAGTCTATGTTTGTATATCAAAGTTAAACCTAACAAAATCCATTTTCCCCCTGTGATTTTCCCTTTTTCTTTTTCGATGTTACTTACAGTGTCCTAAAAACACAACCTTTCTTCCGTTGAGTGTTCCACTGGCTTGCTGAGCATTACAGAAGAGCTACAGAGGAATGCCTCAGAGGTGAGTTTTGGTAGCCAAGGTATTGAGGTTTACTTGTGAGTCATGGAAAGAAGAGTTGGACTTTATGCTTTTCGTTAGAATTTTACTTTCTTCCAAAAAGTAGGGATTTGTATCTTTTCCTTGCTTAGTCAAAGGAAGTAAAAGTGATGTGTCATTGTTCAACTAGGATATGTCTCTAGGAAAAGGGGGTTTCTCCCTATTTCACTACTTCCCATCTTAAGTGCTTCCATGTCTAACCAGGAATGTAAATACCTGTTTGCTTCTCCAGCTTAATTTCTGACAGGTCTGGAAGGTAATTTCTTTCTTGTTGAGAATTTAGGATGTCGTATAATTTCCTAGGATAAAACAGCATCTGCAACTATATGAGTTGAAGTTCCCACAGCATTTCAGTTTTTTCTCTTGGAAGATAAGAGTCCTATATTAGGGATCAGTTATCTGTCCACCCCTGTAGATATTGGGATGTAATGTTCATTTGACATCTCTATAAAATCTGTCTATTTATTGGTAACATACGTGTGCAGCTGCTCCCTGTGCCTTGTCTGATCCTTGAGTCCATCCATCCTGGAAACGTGTTAGTTGTGTTACTGCTGTTGAATGACTCCTTCTTTTTTCAGTCTGTGCCTCTCCCTATTTATCATTCATTTTGTCTTGTGTTAACTGTGTATCCTTACCAATACCTTTTCTGCCTTTTTTCTCTTTTTTTTACTGGCTAGCTGTGCCCTGTTCTGGCTAACTTTATCACTTATTCTGCTGCTGCTGCTGTATTTATTGATGAATGGCTCATTTCATCCCAGGCAACTTAATCTGCACTCCCCTTCCTTTGCTGAGAACTTGAAAAATGTACTTGCAGAAATATTTGAGTATTAGGACATTTTGTGCACTTCAGGCCAAATTAGAGACACAAATCTCAGCATCTTTAATAAGACGGGCATCTAATGTTTCATACAGCACTTGGAAAATTTATGTCCCTGCCTCTGTTTCTCAATTAGGTCACAAATTATCCCTGATTGTATTATGGTTACTGATACATCAGTGCTGTGCTTTTTATTTTATCCCACCTTTCTTTTTAACAGCTCTTATGCTCTATCTTGCAGGTAACCCAATTAATGTTTCCATTATGTGTGATTCAGTGATAAAATCCTCTCTGCCTCCACTGGGCAGAGGATCAATCCTTACATTGCTCCCTGTCTGAGGTCCTTTTCCCCCACTTGGTGTCAGAGGGCTGTGTGTGTTGAATGACACAGCGGGTGGGATATGAGCATGTTTGCAGCTTCTGGAAATGCTGCCAAGGCAATTGTCACATGCTGTTACTAAATATTGCATTTCTGTGGGTTTGGAAAATCAAAACAACTACCTTCCCCCAGCCTTCCAACAACAGTTCTTTCTGTCAAGTCAATGAAACTTTTTGAGATTTTGCTGCTTTATTTGTATGTCATAACCTAATTCTTCATATCATTAAAAAATAATCACCTGCATGTAGCTGGTGCAGAAGTAAGACAGAATATGCAGATATCTGTAATTTGAATGCTGGAAAATGAGTAATGGTGCTCAAAGGGTAACCTGCGTTAAGTCAAGCACTCATGGGGAGGGAACATCAGGATTAAAATTCCTGCATGAAGGCATCTTCTAGAATTTTCAGAAGGGTCTAACTAGGCGAAGTATCTAGTTTCTGTTAAAATGTATCAGAGTCTAGACCATTACTTACTTTTGAAAATCCAGATAGGTACTGATCTGTGTTTTTGGATATCTGTATACTCTCAAAAGTAACTCTGGTAGGTGGAAGTCCGTATTTAACTGGAAGTCAATAGGATTTAGCCATTAGTGATTTTGTATTGGTATTAAGCCCTATATATGTATGGGGGAAAAAAAATTCTGAATTACTAGGTTGCTTGTCAGAAAAGTGGGGCTTGCTTAGATGTTTAGGGGATTTCCTCTAGAACACAGACCTGAAAAAAGTTACTTGGAGTGACTCAAAATATATAAAATTTTAAGCTGTTCACAGAAGTGAGGTACATTAGTGCAAAACTATCCAGCATATGAAGTTATTAAACATATAAAAAACAACTGTGCTTTGCTTTTGAACGATTAATCTAAATTCAAATTTTTTTTGTTCAGGTTAATAATGAATTTTATTTTTCAGTACTGAGTCAAGTCTTTACTCTTTGAAGGTGTCATTAAAACCACCTCAAAGTACCTCTGCCTCACACAATGTTGTTTTCAGGAATTGCTTGAAGGTAAACAGTAATATAATGTGGTGTTATAAGGGAAGTAATTAAGAAATGAGAAAAGAATTAATGTACTGTCCATGAAATTAGCATTCTGATAATTGTTTGGTTTGTAATTATATTGAGTTTAATCTGACAATAATACTGAGAAAGTGTGGGTTTTAAAACCATCCTTTGTTTGGGGGAAAACTCTAATTTGTTTGACACAATTCATTTGTATCTATGCTTCTCTTGGTGTTTTTTTTTGCTAAACCTCGAATGAGCCACTGACTTTCTCAACCAGCTACATTAACCCAGAGGATAACTCCATTTCAAAAGGAAGAATGGAGGACAAAATTGAATGTGCACTGTTCCAAAGTTAATGGTTGCACAATGTAGGTAACTTCTTCATTATTGTAGTCTCATCCACACGTGAGCTGTTCGGAATTCTTTGGAGTGTAGTTCACTTCTGAGGTATGAAAGGGAATAACTGCTCTCTGTATTTTACTTCTGATGGACCTTTCAAATGAAATGTATATGCTGACTGACACCTCCATACTTTGAAGATTGAAGACCTCAAATATGGAGAAAAAAAAGACTGACCTTGAGAGTCTGTTCAAATTCTTTTTTTTTTTTTTCACCATGCTTTGCTGAATATATTATCTTGTGGAAAATCCTATAATGAAAAATAATATCCTTGTGTTACTATGACTTTAAGTCTTGTGCCAGGTAATTCCTAGCCAATGTGTTATTAGGGTGACTCTTTTGTTCCAAGGAGTAAACTTCTTTTAATGAGTGGGAAGGAGAAAAACTCCAGCCTAAATGCTATATGTTTTCCATCAGAAGTATTTCTGATTCCCAACTGTTGCTGGAATTAAAATTCTGACCAACTTTCTCTTCAGTTGATGGTATTTAGGAAAAAAAAACTTATAACAATTTAACAAGTATAATTTTTCCCTGGATTGTTTTACAGTCATCAGAATGCCAGGAATTTGTTGAACTTAAATAAATGCAATCACACACTGAACTTTTTTCTGGTAATTGCAGAAGACAACTTTGTAAAGTTTTGCTCTCCTTGTTCTTTTGTTTTCATGCAAGTGATGACAACAGTGGATGTTGAGGTATTTCAGCAACAGGGGCCTAGAAGAAAGGGAAAATGCTGTAATACTTTATGTGAATTACAAATGTTTTCACTAGTCCTTCAAAGTGTGATCTCAATCTCTCTCTCTCTTATGTATGTATACAAAGTCAATTTTCTACATGCAATTTGTTTTTGGTAAAGGCTGTTTTCCTACTAAACTCATTTTGAATCATCTTTGTTTTCTAGAATGTCCTAAAAATCAGCTGATTTTTGAAAGTTGCTGTTCACAATGATGGTAAAAACATTTAAAAGTGATTGATAGAAAGTGGAACAGATCCCGTTCGATTTTTGTTGCATTGTTTAAAAAAGCCTTACTGCAGATCTGGCTTCTTGTGTAGTGGATGTGTAACATAGGAAGACAAAACCCCCACTAATATTGTTGTTATATGTTTTTTACAGAACCTTGTGTGCATGATGCAGGAATGGGTGTGATGGATACTGTGAGTAACAGCCATCTTTGTTTGCACAGTGAAGCTTTTTATATTGTACAATTTATAGTTCTGTTGATCCAGTTCACTGCAGCTTTTTTTCCAGACAAAGCTAACATTTGGGTTCAAATGTTCACTCTGATGTCAAGGTCTGATATTTTTATCTCTCCATTTCTCCTGATTTTATTGATTTTCTAAGCCAAGCATTCCATAAATTAGTTATAGTAAGAAAGCTTATTGCGGAATGTGATACAATTGGCAACTGATTGTTGATGTAGGAGATTTATGTTGGCCTTATAGTAATAGTTTCTTATAATTGGAAACATATGTGATTTTTAGTGTCTAGACTTGGGAACTTTCCCAGGAAGGAGTTCCAGGTGGTTATCTAAGCATAATAGGCCAAATGGCTACTTAAAGGCTGCAGGCAGACATGGGAAATATGTAAATGTTGCTAGCAAATGTAATTATTTCATGAATTGAAGTGTATAAATTACAGTGTATCCATTTACATCTGATAGTTTGACCAGCTGATCTGTTTTGTATATTCATGTTAAAACCCAAAATTTGCTTTCTCACTGAAATAATGGAAAACACAGAGATTAGAAGTTCTTGATATGTCTGGATGTCAAAAATCTTTTAGCTGTGTCATGTGCCTGATTTCATTGCATTGATATATGAATGTTTGACCTGAATAGCAAACAATTACATTAATAACATTAACTGTGTGAAGTTTGTTTTGGTATAGTTAAGTTACGTGGCACCTTGAGTTTTGTCTTTGTTTGTGAGTAGTCTGATTTCTGGAAGGACCTCAGAAAGGAAACATGTCTGGAAGTTGTACAGCCTACTAAAACATGTGGTGATTTGATATTTTCCTGATCCCAGTTTGCCTTGAACATGCTCTGCAAGTTAAAACATCCCTGGAGAAGGAAAGCACAGTTGGCTATCCCAGCATGAATACTCTGCAAATATTGTTCTGGGACCTGCACAGCCTGTGACTCACAAGGAACATTTTCAGCTCTGGTTCTGACTGTACAATAGGAAATATAAAAGAAAATAAGAGTTTTGCTGGGCCCTAACACTGGATGACTTGATTGTTGTGGCTCACACAGAGAACATGGAAGAGCTGCACTAGAAGATGTGAAAAGTTCTCTCAATTCAGTTTTTGTGTGCCAGATGGTTATGTCTTGTTGTATCTTTTTTTTTTTAATCCTACCTGTTAAGATAGCAAAGAACGACATACGTTATCTGGCTCTGCAGCCAAGTGTGTGGTCCAAATTATTTTCACAGAATGCCTGACAAAGTCTGCTTGCTTGTCTGCCTGCCTCAATCATTTTTCTCAACTAATGAGAAAAATCTGCCAAGCATTGTTGGGCTAAGGCACTAATTATTCTCAAACAAATGTTTCAATTTTGCACAAGTTAGGAAGTGTCTCTGTTTTAAATGATTACATGCCAAGATGCCAGAGTAATCAGACCAGTTTCGTTTATCAATATGTCTGGAAGTCCCAGAGGACCAAAGAGATGAAATCATTTAAAAACAAATGGGTTTGCAGTCTTTTAGGAAATAATACTGCAATACTTCTTTTGATGTATGTTCCTTTTTAATGAGAAGTAGCAGGTCTACTTTCCTTCTGGAAACGTTATGTCTTGCAATATTCCTGACCTCATTGGTCCTCCTTGGTTTTGGCACCAAATTAAAGGAAATTTTGTATTAGTCACTCAAGGCTGGCCTATCTAATCCTTTCTCAGGTTTTATAGTCTGCTCATCACCACTATTTGAGCACTAAAGAAGTTGTTCTCTGATAGCAACAGAATTGGAAAGTATCTCCTTGTAAAACTTTCAGTTGAATTTGGCAATTGGAAGAAACTTGAACAACTTAAAGGAAGTTTACAGCTTGTTTTCCAAGCAGTGGTTCCATACTTGGGCCTGAACTCCACACTTCCCTACTCAGAAGTAGTTGTGAGCTTCCAGAATAGTTTCATCCCACCTCTGATCCTGAAATGTTTAGATCATACCTATTTATTTGTGACAAGGTTCAAGGTTCTGATGCTTTGGTGAGTCACTAATGAGATCTGTGTCTCTGATCAGCTGTAATTTTGCTGATATGTTACACTTCTGCCATATGCCTTTCCAACTGTCCTCAACTGCCTACATATGACCAACAAAAATCAGAGTTTCCAAGAGCTGCCCTCCCTTCTTTAAGTAGGGAGCTGCATGTTTTCAGAGAAAAATGTTTTTGAATATATTTTAAATATGATAAGAAATTTAACTTATTTCATAGATGTAATTGGAGCAGTTTACTTATGAGCCAACTCTGCAGTTTGTTTTTTAGATGTGTGTTAGTTCAAATTTGTTGGAATAATTTTTTTTTAAAAAGCATATATTAAGGATGAGGGGAAAATTAGAGAATTAAACCACCAGAAAGGCAGAACATTTCATGACTTGATTATTTTCCAGCAGCCACCTGTGCCAAGGAAGAAAATGTGCCTAAATATTGTGGTATTTGTATCTCCTTGAACAGTTACTCATACCAGGATAAATGGGCAATAATAATGTGTTTTTGACTAACAGTTTATGTGTTTCTTCTAACACATCCTTTTTCTTCTTTCAGGGGAAAATGGAACCTGGTATTTGGACAGTTTGTATCATTAATTGCTTGTTGCCCTTATAGGTACCCACTGGGTTAATTGAAATCTGTCTGGATGGTGCATTGTGTGTGCTTTTTCTCCATGAATTTTGAGAAACTATTTGTAAAGAGGTGATGTACTACATGGGAAAACCTACTTGGTCTGAAAAGAGTTGGCTGTGGACAGTGCTGGCAGCTCCTGGATCGAGCTGGGTTACAGTGGTACACGCAGATGGACGGCCTCAAGTGAAGACATTGCAAATAAAACATTCATGGTTCTCAAGTGTGATACAAGGCAACAAAAGATAAATAAGCTGTGAATCCTGGGGTATTCTTCAAAGTTCAATCCACAGTCATCTTCCACAAAGGACAGAAGTTTTTAAGATAATGCTGTTACATGCTTTGAAAGACTTTCCATTTTCTATTTTACTGTTCTTTTCTTTTTGTGCGTTCGGTGCGTTGTTATTTGCTGCATAATTATCTCTTCTGATTTTGAGGTGCTGACTGTTCTTGGTAGGACACGAATCTTACCTCTAATCTCAATTACCTCATTTTAACCAGGAAATCCCCATTGAATGCATACTTCTGGTAGGCCTTGTTTGCTTTTTTGACATGTGAATGTCTCTGCTGATTCAGCCCTCTTGGAGCAAGAGGGAGGATCTGAATTTGTTCTAGTTGGTGTCTGTGCTCAAAGACCAGCAAGAATCTGGTGACAGTGAGAATGCCAGGTTACCCAGTCTTGCAAGGACTGGCAACAAGTCCAGTATCCTCCAAGTGATGCAATACCTTTTTAGGCGTATAAACTTCCCAAGTCATTCCCCCTCCATTTAAAGGATGTCTTGCACTTAAAAGAACTTCCAAGCATTGTTGGTGTGGGAAGGGATCCCATCTCATACATCAGTTTCATCATGTTCATTTTCCAAATACATTTTATGCGTCTTCAATTCATATTTAGGAAGTGATACAGGCACAAAAGGGGAAGATAAATTTTAATGTAGTACTTTCTCATAATGGGTCATTTTTCATAAGTTAACAAAGTGGAATACTCTGAAACAAGCTTACATTAAAAATTCAATGTCAGGGGAGTCCCTTATATTTCCTTATAAGCAAAAGAGATTTTCTGGAACTGGTTCCACTGTCATTGACACTTCAGCATAGTTAGCTAACTCCCAGTGTTAGTCCTTGTACTTACCACTAATCCTTGTCTTTTCATAAAAATGTCCTAAAGGACGTGATTCTTCTTTTTTTTTTGGTGTGCAAAATTAAAACTTGTCGATGGTCCTCGAAGCACGATGAGTTCAGCTGCATGTTTTTGTACTATACAAACCTTTTTACATTGAAACTCTTAAGGAAACTGTGGTGTTCATAAAACTAAACTGAAAAGCTACACTTTCTGTCCAAAATCACTTCCTATTTTGTCTATCTACTCATCTAGTGTGCAGAAGTGCAATGGAAATCTAGTGGGAGTAGCATTCCATTGTAACTACACAAGTATTGGATTGTTTTAAATAGGGAAAATTTTATTATATAAACCCTATTACTCTTCTTTCTCATGCTTTGTTGTAACAATTATACTTAATGCAGTTGAAACTTAATTGTACTTAATTTTTTACTTTTTTTTCTTTTTTGAAAGAATTTCTTTCTTTAGCTAAAAAATGTTAAAATGGGTACAGTTGAAATAATTTGGAGGGGGTTTTGAAGTTTCTAATTTGTTACTACAGTTTGAAGGCTGTTGATTTGCCCTCTAGCAGCTTGGTAGTTTTCCCCATTTTCACCTATTATGTAACCATAAACGAATTTTGACTGTTGAACTGATTCAATATGGCTCATCATTTATACCTGACCTTTTGCTTTTCTTCTTCTTAATGCAAACTAAAGGATGTCCTGATTGAAAATAAGAGGCTAGATGCCTGATTTGTTTTATTCTGAGCAGGAAATGTATCAGCACTGTCCAAAAAACCAGCAAATTGTTCTTTCTGTGGTGCTTGGGAGTGTGATGGAGTGTCCTCTCAAGGGTTTCGCTCTTCAGTTATTCCTCAGTGCGTCGCTAATGTCTGAGTCTTGCATCAAGAAATTTTCCCATGAGAGGGAGGCATTCCCTTACATGGGTTAGCCATAAACTCACCCTAAGAGGGCTGGAGCACAAGAAATGTGAGATTTAAGTTGTCAGGTACATGATTACACATAATGCTAATCACATTCCCTGTGATGGAAAAAAGAGGAGACTCGGAGGAGATTCACTGTTCCAGAGAGACACCAGCATTGTACGAGCAGCAGGGATAATTCTTTCTGTTCTCTGGTATATTGGTGTTGCTGCTGTTGTGCTTGGCAGAAAGCATTCAGCCTAAAAGGTTGTAAAGTTTATAGCTCTTCACACTGTGTCACTGCATTGTGTAACCCAGTAGGGCACAGCTACAAAAAGTGTTTTCTTGAAAGTCTTGTCAATATATTTTGTCATTTCATGATTGATTGAACTGCAAACATAAGCTGTGTTGTTTTAAGACAACACTTTTGTCTTGCAAAATTACAGTGTGGAACTAAATTTGCAGCTTGCTGTAGGTGCTTCATTCTCCTCCAGCAGTGGTCCTCCCTGTTTCCTTAGTAGGAATGCCTCCATGCCCCAGCCTAAAAAAGTGATGTACAGGGTTTCAGCTGAAAGTGGATTTGGTTGCAATATATAATTGAGCAGAGGAGTGACAGAGGTTTTAAATTATGGAGTTGATTTTAAGAGTTGACACTGGCATTAAATGTTCTATATTTGGAGCTTCTGCTTTAGTGGCTAAAATAGACATTTACAGATAGAAATAGTGATCTGAATTCCCCTTGTGGGCTTGGCAGATAGGTTTGAAAGTGATTTCATTTTTTGTGTGCAATTTTCTTTTGGCAAGAATGAGTGCAGGGGGTGGTGGAGAGGTCAATTTGTCTATGTTTATAGGTGCTGACAAGTTTTGTGAGATTTATTTTCAATTCAGCTTGTTTAAAAATTGCATGACAGTGTTTTTTAAAATACCCTGTTGCCAAAAATTTTATGTTAACTTTTGTGTGTATACCATCACTTCCGTGACACAAATTGACTTTATCGATGCCCAGTATGTTACAGTTAACCACTAACTAGTTAAATCTGAGCTTTAGAAAGTTCAATCACCAGTTTATTATAGAAAGTTATGCATTCTGTGGGTTTTACATGTTGTAAGAACTAACTTATGCTTTTAGTGATTTAACTCAGTTAGTAAGGTAACTACTTTTTGGATTTATTTTTTTTTGGTGAATTTGATATTTAATGATAGTTTAAAAATTTGTCTTTTTCAGGTATTTGGAAAAGAGCTGCTTTCAAGGTAGGCAAAATGATTGTAAATGTTCTAGTTACTTCTAAATAAGATCAAATTTGCATGATTTAAAAAAAAGACAAGATAAGTTATCTACAGCTGCCTGCACTTCAGTAACTTTAGCCTCAAACCTTTGCTTATACCTTCCCTTCTGAAGGAGCATCTTTCACTTGACCACAAACTGATCTAAACCAAAAATTCAGATTAAGAACAGTGCCAGTAGTACTGAATGGTTACACTGCAGGAATTGTAGCCAGTTAAAATTTGGAATTTCTGAAAGGGGGGCTAGAGTCTTAATCTTAAACAGTTCTGGAAAAATTGCAGCCCTGATCTCCACAGGGAAGGAGGGGGAAACATTGATTCAGAAAACATGTGCTGCACTCCACTGTATAAATCTGGATCTCAAAAATAAACTTTTTTAGCATGCTTGAAAGTTGTTGCTGACTACTGCCAACTAGAAAATTTAATAAAGAGTTTAACTTTGTGCAGCCCAAGCCAACTCTGCAAACACATGCTTTCCCGCTGAGATCAGAATGAATATCTAGTGCAGTGTGCGAGAGCCAGACTGTAGGAGCAGCCCTGTCTACATGAATCCCTCATCTGACTTCAGTTATTGCTGTGGTGGGCACAGTTCCATGGCTGTAATCATTGCAGAGAGTGTGTGTGCAGAGCTCTGCTCCAAACTCTGTCATGCAGCTTACATTTTCAATTATTTTAGTAAGGCCTCTTGCATCTGCAAGCTTAGTCTGTTTGGTAAATGGACATATTTACCTTCCCAGTTGAAAAATCTTTTTATGGAGGATGTCTTGTTCTCTCCTTGCATATCTCCTAGTGCAGGATTTTGGAATTTAGCCATACCCATTTTTGAAGCAGCCTCTTAATACAAAGAGAAGAAATTAATAGATTGTGTAAAAAGTCACATAATTTTCATTAGTTCTCTTTGAGAAGCTTTTTCAAATCTAAATTTAGATATTGGATTCAGTATTGATGGGAAAAGGAGTTGAAAACATATTTCTGCTCTCAGTCAAGAATCCAGCTTCTGTCTAGTGATGCGTGGTGGTGAGAGAGGGCTGAGTTTGTGAGGGCAGCACATCAGGCTGCGTGTCAGAGTTTGTGTTTCAGCCCAGATCTTTATCCTTCTTACAGAAGGGTCTCGGATTATGGGGAAATGAGTTTGCTTGTCTTGTTCTGGGAGGAGTGAGACTTATATAACGCTGAGCAGCACTAATGCAGATCTGTCAAACCATGTCCAAATCTGTTTCACCAGTTACACTGTGACTGGAGGAAGTCCATAAACAAAGGAAGGAACCATTTGGAACAATTTATATCACAGCCATATGAACAGCCATTTCATCAAATATCATCTCTGGCTCTACTCTTTCAAATAAACACCGCTTTCCAAAGTGGCAAACAGGAAGAATAGGTTTTGTTTGTCAAAAGCCAAACTGGCTAAAATGTTGCCAACCTGTCAAGAAAAGCTGAGGGAAAAGAAAGCATCTTCCTAAGATTTTGGTATAATGGTACATGGGGACTTGAGAATTAGCAAAGAGAAGGGGAGTTCTCTTGTCTTGGAAAAACTGAGTGAGAAAGAATGCCTTAAAATAGTGACTATCAGTGATGGCATAGGATGGAGTGAAAGATCTATAAAATAGCCTGCTTTGCAACTTAAAAAAACTCTGTCAAGGCTTTGAACTGCTCAAACTAGAATTAAATAGGTTATGGGTTTGCTTCTGGTATTCTTTATTTTCTTATCAAGGGAGAGAAAAAAGGCAACCCCCCCCCAAACTTCACAAAAGGGGAAACCATTCTTTTATTGTGTAGTGGTCTCAGTGTCCCCTTGTTCAGTGTGAAGGCCAGAGTCCAGGAGGTGAGATCGCATACGAGTATTGGGAAGAATATGTACTGATAACTATTGTGTGATTATTTTTCTACTGTTAAAAGTAGAGCCACTTCAGGCAATACTTTTGTCTGGAGACAATTTTTGCTTCTCTTCTTTCACTTATGGGGATCATACATCTCCTCAATGCCCAGAACAAGTCCTTCTCCTCACCTGCATTTCTGAGTACAGCACACAGCTATCTGTCTAACATATTGAGACACTTCTGGCTAGATTGAAAAAATCACAGATCTAATTGCCTCACACAAGCTCTACAACAAAGCAGTGACTGGCTCTTCAGAGGCATCCTGTGTTTGCCCTTTGTTGTGAGCCTGTAGTGTTTTGTTTCTCTGGCATTTGGTGTCTGTGTTCATCATTCTGACTAATGCAGAGGAAATCTGGAGTCACACTTTCATGTCTCTCTTCTGATCATATTTGTTATTCTAAAGTAATGCCACTGTGGTGGTGGTTTAGTTAGCAAAGCAAATAATGTCTGTTCAAATGAGTGTAAAACTTATCTTCTTTTATGTCTGATGACATGGCAACATTAATATATATATATAATAGTTTTGGGCAGTGCTTTCCAACAATGTTGCCTTTCTTGTTCTTTAATATGCAGTGTGATGTGATGTGTTTGAACTAAATTCTGGTAAACAATTGCACCTGTTGCAAGAACCTCCATTTGTTGTCACAGCCATCAGAGCAGTTAGAGATGCACTGAAGGAGGTGTCTTCACTTGTAATGGATGAACTTGTGTTGCAATTGCTCACTCCATGCATAAACTGAGTAATTCAGCCTCTTCTCTATACACCTTTCTAGTACAAATTTTCTTTGGCAAAAAGTGACAGTAGAATAAAAAAATAAATCTGTTTGTGGAAGGAACATGGACAAACAACTAGGGCTTTTTTTATGAATTAAGTTTTGGGATGTGTGGTTGTTATCCTTGAGTAAATCAAGTATAGCATGTAATAATGGCAAGAATAGAATATAAACCAGTAGCAGATGGATAAGGGTAGTCCTAGATTACTTAGGAAAAAAAATTGTCAATCCTTATCCAAAATTCAGGAAAAGTGAACATTCTTATGTAGCATTTGCCTGGAAGCATTTTGGATGATCAATACAATTTGAATCAATATCTTTGATTTAAAGTTTTATTGAATATTGTTGTGCTCCAAAATAGAGTATTGTAATGCTAAACTGCTTGACTCCTGTTTTGACCAGTTTAGGTGTCTTTGGTTTTCATCCTTTACCTGTCATTCCTTGTTTACAGGGGTATATGAACAGTTTGTCTTAATTTTCTTAGTCTTGCCCTCATACAACAACTAATACTGTAGATCCATAGATAAAATTCTGCAAGCAAATGCATTCTCTGCTATTGTGGGATTACAGAGTTGTGGGTGAAGGATTAGGCTCCCCTGAGGAACTGACTACTTTTGCTTCTTGGAAACTTGAGCTGAAATTACGTGTACACTGCTGTTTGTGGTTTCACTCCCTTCAGTTTATTTTGGTTTACAGTCATGATTAAAAAATGAAATTAAAATAAAAATGAAACAAACAGTACCCAGAGCAAATTGATCTGTGTACCATTTGTGTGAGAGAGTCTTGAGGTCTGGTTTTCTTGTGTCAGTCTGAAGCATAAGGCTAGTCCAAGGAAACAGCTGGCAATAAGTGTTCTGCTAACAACTAGGCAATTGCATTAAAGTAACACTAGAAGACTGAGAAACCAAGAAAAGAAATGCAATTCTAATGTAGGAACTGTACAGCACTCAGAAGAAGTAGAAGAGAGTTTGCTGTGGCTTTGCTGCTCATTCTTGGAGCTCCAACTGCGTGTTGCTGAAAAGAAATCCTTGCCACGAAGAAACATTTGGATATGAACTAGGCCACTTTGAAATGCCCATTTTGTAAAAGTTTATAAGGAAAAAAGGAAACATGATAGCTGAAGTTGCAATGAATCGCCCCATTTGAAAATAATTCCCAGCAGAAACAAACACCCTGGGAATTTTGCTTGGCACAGCCCGAGACAACTTCTGCATGGTTTGACTTTAGCTATACAAAACCTACCTAGGAAAAAGTGGTTTTAAAACTTTAGCTATTGCTTATAAGGTTTAGGATACTGTGGTGGAGGGAGTCTGGCTTGGATTCTTAACTGCTGTTCTGTTTTCATATAACCCCGGTTTGTTTTGTCCTAGAAATGCAAAATTCCAGAGTCATCTCACTTAACCGAGATGTTAAATTTAGGATCATACATGTCCTAGATTCTCAATATAGTCAATGAGATATAAGCATCTCTGAAGGGTAATTTGCCCCCTGCGTGAGCTGAGCCTGCCCTGAAGGTAACTTTTCTTTGTCCATATGGTTGTGAGAGCACATATGACTAGACCCCCAATTTACAAGGCTAATTTGTGTAGCTATCTTTGGGATTGTACCTGAGCAAGTATGTCTTACTTGGCTTTACTTCTTTAAGCAAAATGCCTTGTGGTGTTTTTATACATAAGAAATGATCTTAAAATGTCTGAAAAGTGTGCAGAGAATCTTTCTGAAGCTTAAATTCTGGGTTTAGCTGCTAGATAAATAAATAGCAATAGATATTATGCAGCATGTAAGCCTGGGAAGTGCATGAAGCATGGATATGGGGAGAGACACCATAAATCCTCCAGGTTTTCAGGGGTATGGGTCAGGGAACTTACTGTCTAGTATTTGAGGTTTGAAGAAATTGAAAAGAAAGATGTGGTGCTGACAGAGCATAGGTGAAGGGATGATCGAAAGCACAGAGCTGTGCTGAGGACAAAACACATAAAGAACAGAGACATACTGTGACAGTTGAATAGGGGGAATTGGGGCATGCTATATATGCATTAAGGGTTATAAATGATGTTCTTAATGTTTTCCGCATTTAGAATAAAATACATGGTGCAACCTCATTTTTGAAGGCTTTGTGCAATTGCAGCTGTCCCATCTCAAGAATATGATGGAAGTTGTGGAGGTACAAAAGAAACTGAAATGATCAGAGGAGTGTGAGGGCTTCTGTGCAAGGGAGGATTCAGTGACCTGGGTCTCTCCAGTTTTGAGAAAAGGTGACTAATAAGGGAAAAGCAAGATATACTGAAACTACATAAAGTCAGAAGGGACATGA